AAATTTTATCAGATATTTCTCAGGCTTAATAGCATATATCCAAATTTTAATTTTACTATAAAATAAAATATTTGGTAGAGTTAGAAATTTAGTTAAGATAAAATAATATATCATATAAAATTCCCTATATTAAATGGTATGATTCGAATGTCACTCAAACTGCCATTTGAACTACTATTCAACACTATCATATGACTTCACGGACATGCATATCCGTAAAGTCACATAAAAGTGTTGAATAGCAGTTTGAATATCAGTTTGAGTAATATTCAAATTATGCCATTCAATATGGCGAATCAAATATTATACTGACAATGTTTAATTTTTTAAATTACCAACCTCAGTTTGCATTACTCAAAACATTTTTGCTTAAGTTATACTCCTTTTTACCTGTTTTTCTTGCTTTGTGTTTAGAAATGTTATATGGATCATTTTCTTTAATATTTTTTGCTTGATACTTGCACTTTCTACTTTCCTTTGCTTTATTGATTCAACTTAAATGGGATCTTTTTACCACCTTTAGTACATGCTGAAGGGTCCAAATTATGATTTAGATCATAAAGAAAACTTGCTAATTGTGGAATTGATTGAGATTTTGCAGCTTTATATCATTCAGCAAATTTATTGAGTACTGTGCATAATTGAGGATATTGTTTTTCATAATCTTCCTTGACTCCTTGCAAAAAATCAATAAATGAATCATTTGCTTTATGTTTTAGGTTTTCAATTTTTTCAGAATTATCTTCCTCTTGTACAAATTCATTAAATTCAAGCAAATTATTTGCCTGATTTTGTGATTTTTCTATTTTGAGTGAATTATTTGCTTGTTCTAACTTTTTAAGTTTATGCGAGTCTAATTCTTTAAATTTTCTATATTAAAATAATTTATTAATACGTATATGAGTTAACTTTGATAAATAATAACTAACATAAAATAAATTTATATGTAAAATTAACATTTGTTAACCTTATATTTGATGAGGATATTAAGAGGTATGGCGACTTAGTGTAGTGGTC